ACGGTTACGTTAAGTTAGTAAGTAGTTAGTTTCTTTACTTTACTTACTACCTACTACGTAAGAAGTAAGTAGTACGTAGTACGTAGTAGTGTAGTATATATATATATATATATATATATATATATATATATATATAGTTGAGAAGGTTTGTGCTATAGATTTGTACTTAAAGCAAGGAATGCATTTATATTTCCTTACTAGATACGTTGGGTTAACTTTGGTTTATGCATAAATATGTATGGTGGCAATAATTGGTTTAAAATGTTGTCCATATTGGTGTTTAAACCGAGATTTGGCTTGGGATTCAAGGACTTGCCAGGATCCCGAGTCAAGTCAGATTGACTCGACTTGGCCAAGTCTCAATAAGATTCAGCCATGTCCATGCTTAAAAAACCACTCAAGGGCTGGAAAGAGCAGACTTGGGGAAGTATCAGAGTATTCTATGTTACTTGCTAGGGTCCCACTTGCCAAGTCAACTTCCAAGTTTTTAATAACTGGTTCAAATTATTGAATTAGGTCTCAGTTACTTCTCATAATTACCACTGTAAAATGGTGTTGATGCTTGTATTATTTCTTGAAAGGGTTTCTCAGGTTGTTGAATCAAAATTGTTGAGCCATATGTATAGTTTTGTGACCATTAGTATGCTCTCAAAACTATTGTATCATGTTCTTGTCATTTTGCATGTAAATTTCTATGATTTAGCAAATTATCTTTGTAGCGCTATAATTCGTTTTGAGTTTAGACACATTTCTCATTGTTGATTGCAGTATAAGCCACAATCTTGTGAGATTCAAGCTCACAAAGGTGATAAAGTCAAAGTGCATTACCGGGTGAGTACTGATGCAATTCTCTTTTGTCAGTTTATGGATGATTTGATTAGGAGTGCAACTTGTCAAGCAACAAATCCTAGTGAATTATTTCAATCACTGTTATTGTAGTGAAAGAAAAATCGTTCTGATCTTTAATTATACTAATTATTGGAAGTAAATGGGTCTCTTGATATGCACTTAGTGGGTCTTGTTTACAACATTATGACTCTTTCTCTCTCTCTTGCTCTCTCTCTCCTGTCCATTTTGGATTAGTGTTATGACTAACTTTTGCATAAGATCTTGATGTGGGGCCTTATTTGATGTCATGAATGGAGAAACTTAGGGCCTAATTGTTTTACTGTTGTTATTGTTCTCATTTTTAGGATTGTTACTATTGTGTAATCTATATATTTCTTATTTCATGTTAATTTTTTCATGACGAAAATGATGCAACTGCTCAGATGCAAGGGAACCAAATACTATCAGTAATTTCTGGTCTTGCAAAATAAATGATTATATGTTCGTAATTACACCCATTTTCATGATAAATTATTTGGCAACATTCAAGCCTTGTGCTTGTTCGTTTATTTATGCTTTTCTTTTGTAGACCCTGCTTTGATTCAACTGCGAATTTTCAAGTAATACAATGAATTCCTAAGTTGTATCTTCGTCATGTGTCTCCTTACCATGCTATATGGCGTATGGATATTATATACTTTATTGGCATGCTTTGTATTACTCGTGAATTAAACCTTTAGTGAAAAAAGGCTTATTATTTAGACAAGTAGTTCAATTTATGCTGTATGATATCTATCCTTTGAAGAATATTGCGGATGGTCCATTGATTGAGAGCTGCAGTCTTGGCATATAGGTTGGAACAAGGTTCTTAGGCCATCATTGGTTGAAATGGCATGGGATGATGACTTCTTGAATGGGTTCTGCTGTAAATTCAGTTGCAATGATAGAAAATAGGGTAACATGTTGATGACTGTTGAATGCGACCTATGAGGCACTAGTGGCTGAAACTAGTATGTCCTCACAAAAGTGGATGAAACAATCAATACACGGTATTTTGGTCAATTTATTTTATGTAAATTATTTTATTTTTATTTTTATTAGATTTATCTATTTTTTAAGAATAGATTCTCCAAATTTCAAGTAATTTAGATTTGTATAAAAAATTAAAATTCAAATATGAAAAGCAAACGTGACCATTGGATTGGCTCATATTCAATCTGGGCTGTTGGGTATTTACTATTGCTGTCAACTAGTGGCCTAAACTCAGCTACTCCCATATATATATATATATATATATATATATATATATATAG